CCTCAATTACTATGTCTGTTACATTACAACAATCTTGTGTTACAGCAGTGTTACGTACATCAGTGTTACGTACATCAGTGTTACATTATGGCAGTGTTCCATTACGGCAGTGTTACGTAAAAGCAGTGTTACGTTAAAGCAGTGTTACTTTACGGCAGTGTTACATTATTGAAGTGTTATGTACATCTATATTACATTATGGTAGTGTTATGTTATGGCTGTGTTATGTTACAGATGTGTTATGTTACAGATGTGTAACCTCACAGATCTGCTTAGTTTCTGCTCTGTTATTCTATGATTGTGTTACATTATGGCATTTTTAAGTTACAGCTGTGTTACATCCTGGCTTAGTGATGTTACAGCTGGGTTATATTACTACTGTTACATCACAGCTATGTTACTTAATGTCTATGTTATGTTATGGATCTGTTACATTACGACTGAGTGAAGGTCAGCAGACACAGAGGATGCCTAGTGGATGCATTAGTCAGGATTATCAGCACACTGGTTTTCATCAGGCTGGATGGTTGGAATATACAACAACCCAACCTGTGTGCAAGTTTGACAAAAGTTAAACAACTGAACTATCTTTAGGCTCAACAAAGTCCATGCTCAATAATCCAGGTATACAATCCAACATTTTTCAGTCAGGTCATCTGGACAGTTGGACATCTGGAATGCTGGATTGTATACCTGGATTATTGAGCATGGACTTTGTTGTTTTCAACCAGTTTGACAAGACTGTCAACAAGGAAAAGGACCGGCAATGGAGGAGGGGGCGTACCAAAGAGACCATCTTATCACAAGCAGAACTGGTTTGTTCCACTTTGGAGTAAGCTGTTGGGGGGGGGGGGGGGATCGGTTTTGTTGTGCGTTTCCTTGACTGATGAAGCCTTCCGGACCAAAGGCGAAACGTTTCAGCACAAAAAAAAAAGGAACTGTCCAAATGACCTTACTGAAAAATGTTGGATATCTTTAGGCTCATTTTTTAACTATTAGATAGTGTTTTTGATTGGTAAGGTTCATCCCAGTACATAATGTCAGTTATTTGTAATTGTTTTTGACGGCCACATCACACAGTTTACTTACATGTGATTGACAGGTTTTAATAGAGGGAAAATTAGTCACCAGTACTTTTCTTTTACTTTCTGATTCAGCTTTCTCCTGAGAACTAAAACAGATGTCTTTCCAAGATAAGAGGTGGAAGATCAGCTTCCAAGCAAAACTGAAGCTGAAACCCTAACAACCATGAGGAGAAGTTTCATAAAAATCGGAGCCAAACGAAGCTTCAAGAAATTGTCAGCATCTGAAACTAAACAGCTCAGCAGCTAATGCATTTTTTTCTGAGTTTCTGTGTATTGAGTAAACAAGTGTCGCTGCCAAGATCAGTATTTATCTTTTAAACAGTTTTGAGAAGTAATTGGTCTCAAAGTTTGTAGCACATACAGCTGGAGAGTCGATGCTCTGAACTCTACATCTCCGAGCAGCTTTAAACTATATTTTATTAAAAAAGTCATCTGGATTATAAAATCCGATGTAGGTCACATATGGGTAAAAATTTCAGATTTTGGTCACTTTTGGCTGCAGTGTGAATGAAGCCTTAGTTGTCTAAATTATTGCAGAATTAAATCCTAAATCAATCTTGTGTCCAAATAAATTTTTTGTGTTTAGATAACTCATAATCACTATTTTATTTTAGATCGTTCAAGGATTAATTATTAATTTATTTTGTTTGTGAAATCATCAATTGAAGATCCAATATCTTTATCCGCTTCTTCTTTTCTGGGTCACAGGAGTCAATGGTGCCCATGTCCAATCATCACTGTGCGAGAGGTTGGGGACACCATGGATAGGTGCATCACAGGGACACATAAAGACAAATGAGACAAACAATCATTCACTCTCTCACTAGGGGCAATTTAGAGTTACCAATCAGTCTAACATGCATGTTTTTGGTCTGGAGGAAGAAACTAGAGTACCCGGAGAAAACCCACGCATTCACGGAGAGAACATGCAAACTCCACCCAGAAAGGCCCCAGGCCAGGATTTGAACCGATGGCCTTCTCACTGAGAGGCAACAGCTCTACCAACTGCGCCACCATGCTGCCCAAAATTAGAACATTATTTCCTGAATTTGTTTTTCTGTTGTTGATTTTCTTTTTAAATTTATATTATATTTGTAATAATTATTTTTAAGACACAAATCTATCTTCTCATTCAGAGTAATGATAAGAGTACCCTGTAATGATGAATAACCATATATCACCGTGTATTGTAAATATAAACGCAACACATTTATTTTTGCTCCCATTTTTCATGAGCTGAACTCAAACATCTGAGACTTTTTCCTCTGTACTCAAAAGGTATTTTTCTGACAAATATTGTTCACAAATTTGTGTAAATCTGTTTTAGTGAGTACTTCTCCTTTGCCGAGATAATCCATCCACCTCACAGGTGTGGCGTATCAAGATGCTTAGACAGCATGATTATTGCACAGGTGTGCCTTAGGCTGACCACAACAAAAGGCCACTCTAAAATGTGTAGTCCTCAGTCCGTGACTGAGGGACAGTTGTTACCTATTAACCTTTAGAAGATCACGTGGGGAAAAAATAGCCAAAAAATAATTTTGGTGCTGTTAATAATCTTTTTAATTTTAATTTTATTATATATTTTTTATTATTTTCAGACAAAGCCTACAAATTCTTCCAAGTTATTTGTTTATTTTGTCAGAATTTTTTTTAAATGTTCCTGTAAACTCAAACTATCCTAAAGTTTTATTTAGGGGGAAATGTTACCACAGGGAAATCCCAATATAAATGCATTTTCTGATCAAATAATTACATCATTAAAGAATGTATTTCTTAGTATTTTTTTTTCTGTTTGTTTTATACTACTTCTATCTCCAAACTCTTGATTTTTATATTAGCTCAGTGATGTTTTTTTTTTTTTGTCTGTATTTACGAGCTTTTGTAAACTTTACCGGGACGGACTTGCACCTGTCCTGGCTGGATGTTGCTGTGGAGCTCCAGCTCTCATCTTGTCTGACAAAATTGTTTTAGTTTGGATGTAAAGAGCAAAAACACACTTGTACTGAGCACAAGTAAACATTTAGTGCAAAAACAACATTTCCACGTGCATGCAGGCTGAAGACTCAAAAGCCCCACGGCTCAGAACGTCCGACTCCGGTTGACTCGACTGGACGTCACTATCAAATCCACCGTGCTGCAGCTGGTAATCTGTTCGGGTCAGTAAAAGCAGAAGCAAAACAAAAACTGGCGTTGTGCACAAATAGTTTTAAAAAGGAAATAAAAGTTTTAAAAAAATTTAAAGAAAATATTAACTAAAACCGAGCCAGACGTATGAGTTTCACCGAAAACAAGGCCTCATTTTCAGCTGTCTGATCTGGAGGGTCTGGTGAGCCGGTGGTCTTCACAAAACTCCAGACTGGAGTTTACAAAAATGTCAAAACTTTTAGGGTGTGCAGTTCTTCCTCTAAGGAGTTCAAGGACCTGCTGAGGTGTAACCTCTGGTGCATATTTTTGGTTTGTGAGAGGAAACCGGAGTATCCGGAGAAAACCCACGGCTGCACGAGGGGAACGAGTAAATGGGTCGTGAACCTTCGCATTGCAAGGCAGACTGTCCATCCGCTGCTCCACCGTGTCTGACCAAACCGAAAATGGCACCAAGTCTGATCACAAGCACAGTCCTTGTATTGAAACGACCTTTGCACTCGAGCAAAATAAGTAAATAAACCGGAGGAGTGTTGACGAAGATCCACTCAAGATAATCATGTTTTAATCTGCTGATTGTGTTAACGATGACTCAGCGTTCACACACAAAAAAAACTAAATGAAACTTAACCTACGGTAATATGACAGAACTAAAGAAAACCAAACTTGACTTAAATAAATGTAACATAAACTAAACTTAAAGTGAAGCTAACTTGATTTAAGTGAAGATAAACCATCCGGTGATCCTTGTGGCGTTCGTATGAAATAAAAACAATGTTTGCTGCTGAGATTTAAAAAGATTCCAACAGATGTACATCATGTTTACAGCTGGATAAAATATATAAATATATAAATATATTGCTGAGTCCAGCAGCACAGTAACTGTAGGTGTAATTAGATTACTTACAGGAGCTGGATTACTTCAAGTGTAATCCTCACATCGTGTTTGTTGCAGAAATAAAAGAACTGATTCTTACAGACGGCTGGTCATCGGGCTGCGAAACATTTTCAACTCCACGTCCAAACGGTTCTGACTCCACTGAGCCAAACCCAGACAGCCTGAGAACAAACAGAGGAAACTGGGGCCTGCTGGGGCCTCCCAGCTGTTTGACCAATAAAGATCAATGAGCCCAGGGGCAGAAAGGTCCAACAGGAACCTGGACATCCGTCCAACATGTCTGATGTTGGACATGTCTCCACCATCAGAACAAACCAGAACTTTATTCATCTCCAGAAACAGTCTGAAACTTTTATTACAGGGAGGCACGGCAGTGGAACTGTCATGGTTTGCACTCATTCTGCTGTCTGTTGAATATTCAGCAAAATTATTATTTTTATTGAAATTTAATCTTTACATGAAACTTTAGGAGTCAGCCTGGTTCAAGATGGCCGCCACATCCAGTTAAGAAAAGTGGCTAAAGCTCCTCCGACAGGTTCTGAGCTACAGTTTGGTGTGGTAGTAGCTGAGAGTCATCAGGCTGACCCAACGAACAGCAACTGGGTCACCCTCAACGTTAAACTGGCGCGGCGGGCGACACGCATTACTGCCGCACAGCGGAGACACGCGCCTTCAAGAGCTCAGCTCGTTTTACCTGCAGCTGAAGTCCGCCGGAACACACCTGGTGGATTTACCTGGATGACTGAGCAGCACCTGACGGTCGTGTCCTGTCACGCGTGGGCGATTCTGGCGCCACGCCCCACCTGGACGCGCGGCCACGCCTCGCGCAGGTGCACGCTATAAAGTCCATCCACCTGCGGCTCCGGCTCCACTCCTCTCTGCAGAACCGAACCGGCATCATGAGCACCATGCGCTTCTCCTCGCTCTCCATGTCCTCCGCGTCCTCCGCCAGGACCCCCCGGGGCACCAGCGTGCACGGCGGTGCGGGGGGCCGCAACGTGCGGGTGTCGTACGCCTCCAGCGGGCTCGGCTCCAGCTTCGACCTGAGCCATGCGCTCGGCGGCGGCGGCGGGGGGGACATGAGCCTGTCGGTGTCCGGCAACGAGAAGGCCACCATGCAGAACCTGAACGACCGGCTGGCCTCCTACCTGGACAAGGTGCGCTCCCTGGAGACCGCCAACGCGCAGCTGGAGCGCCAGATCCGGGAGTGGTACGACAAGAAGGCCCCCGCCACGAGGGACTACAGCCGGTACCAGGTCATCATCGACGAGCTGCGCCAAAAGGTCAAAGAGAAAAACTCAGGACCTCATCAGAACCGTTTTTATTCCTCCAGTAAACTTGTTTAATTTTTGATCTACAAAAACTTTATTATAGGATTAACTGAGGATTTGAGTTTTATTATAATTTGTATAATCTGAACAAGATGTTTGATATTCTTTCTACAAAAATCTCAGTGGTTTATTCCTCGGGTCCAACATGAACCCTCATGTTTTACTTCCTGATGATTCTTCATCCCAAACGGTTCTGTTGGTTTTTCAGATCAGTGCTGCCACGACCGTGAACACCACGCTCATGCTGCAGATTGACAACGCTCGGCTGGCGGGAGAGGACTTCAGGATGAAGTGAGTGGACCTGGTTCTGGTTCTGGTGATGTAATGGTTTCCGGCTGCAGGCCTTTAACGGACGGTGGAAAACTGGCTGAGCTGGTTTGAGCTCAACACTCGCCGTCGTTTTTATTTACGGTGTTAACTGCCGAGGTGGAAGTCCGCTCGGATCTGCGGCGGTAGAACCGTGGTTTGGGCCGGTTCTGTTTCTGGGCAAAGCATTCTTGTTGAATGTTCAACAGAAATGTTAAATATTTATCTGTTCCTTCACGCAGTCGGTTCTGACCTCAGTCCGGTTTAACGACGCTAACTTTCACCTCGCAGGTTTGAGACTGAGCAGTCGGCTCGAATGTCGGTGGAGGTGGACATCGCCGGGCTGCGCAAGGTTCTGGACGAACTGACGATGACCCGGTCCGACCTGGAGATGCAGGTGGAGGGCCTGAAGGAGGAGCTGGTGTTCATGAAGAAGAACCACAAAGAGGTGAGAGAAAAAAAACAATCCTGTTTCCAGACCTGCTCCTCTGTTCCGGGTCGTGGACCTGGTGTCTGTGTCCTGTAGTCACTGCGACGGGCGGGGGACACTTGGACACGTCCAACGACCATCACAGGGACACATGGAGACAAATGAGACAAACATTCACCGTCACACACATACCCAGTGAGAACCAGCACTTCAGAATACTGTCTGGTCCCTGCAGGTACCAGGTACACAGAGTATACATACCAAACTGATCCATACCATTACCAGGTGTGCAACTGGTACACAGTTAGTATATACCACGTATATACCAGATATGTACAAAGTGTGCCACTGGTACACATTACCATCGTACCACACGCACAATACCATGTACATATCGGGTATGTACCAGGTGTGCAACTGGTACACAGTTAGTATATACCAGGTATGTACCAGGTGTGCAACTGGTACACAGTTAGTATATACCAGGTATGTACCAGGTGTACAACTGGTACACAGTTAGTATATACCAGGTGTACAACTGGTACACAGTTAGTATATACCAGGTGTACAACTGGTACACAGTTAGTATGTACCAGGTGTGCAAGTGGTGCACAATACCAGTATACCACACATACAATATCTCATACATACCAGGTATCTACGAGGTACATACCAGGTATTCCTCTGGTATATAATCAGTATAAGTACCTATTATTATGTACCCAGTAGCTGCCTGGTACATGTTTGATAGGTACAAGGAATGTACCCTGAAAGTACCAGGAACTTACACGGTAAATACCCAGTAAGTATAACATACTTAGCTGGTATATACCAGGTACGTACTGGGTTGTATTAAGTATAGCTCCGTGAAGCAGTGTACATGGAGAAGGTTTATTTCAGTATTAAACACATTTGTGTAAAAATAGTTTTATTGACAAATTTTTCTAAAAAATTTTAACCTAAAATTTAAAAAATAAATTAATAAAATGTCACAATAAGACAACTTGGCGTCAACACTGACAAAAAATTAAAAGTATCTTGTGAAGGACACGTCGAGGTCTTCCAAGAGTTGTTTTCTTCCACAAAGAACTTCACTGGTTCTGGGCCAACGCGCCGTGTTCGTCATTAAAGATGATGCCACAGAACTCCGAGCCAAGAACCGGTGACTCAGAACCAAACCGTCTGACAGGAACACGTTTCCGATGATTTATTCAGACTAAAGTGTTTTTAAACGCCAGACGTGTGGATCTCGTTCTTCCAGACATAAACCCAGAACACGTTGGTTCCGGTTCCCTCTCAGCTGATTTCTCTGCTTAATGCTGAGTCAGCATTCACATTGTTTATTTTTGTAACCATAATGTTTGTTTAAATTTATTTGAACAGTTTCCTCAGAAATGCATTATGTTTCTCTGAAATCTTCCTCAGGCTCAGTTTTTGTTTTCTGCTACTTTTAGTTGTTTTTGTTTTTCTGCTAGCAGTTGGGTACTTGTAGCTATGGCGTTATGTTTAGCTAGCAGTTTGCTACATAGTTTTAGCTTATTGCTACATTTAGACTTAAGACTAGGCTCACTTTTTCCTTTTCGTTTTAAGCTAACATTTTGCCTCCTTTTAGTCATTTGCTTCTTATTTCTTGCTAGCTGTTTGCTAATTTTAGCGAAAGTTTTGCTACATTTAACTTGCTTTGTGCTGTATATTAGCTTGTAGCTAGCATTTTTATTAGTTTTTTTTAGCTTGCTATTTAAAACTTTATACTTTTTTTTTTGCAACACCTAGTTCAGCTTATTTAAACATTTACCCAAAAAATAATTTTCAGCAAATTGCCTCTTAGCTTTTCGCTAACATTTGCTCCTTTTTAATTTGTAACTAGCCTTTTTCTATTAATATTTTTGCTTCTTTTAGCTTTTAGCCTGCATTGTGCTACTTTATTACACGTTTAAAGCTAAAATAGGATGCTTATCCAATTTTTTTAAATTATTAATCAATATTTTGTGATATCGTACAAATTCCAAAATGTAAACGAGTTCAGACTTCTAATTGGCTTCTAGCTAGCGCATTTCTACCATTAGCTTTTAGCTAGCATTTTATGTCATAGTTTTAGCTCTTCTTCATTTCTAGCTAGGCTTTTGCTACTTTTTAACAGTTAGATATTTGCTGTAATTAGTTTTAGCAATACATTTAGCTTTTAGCTGGCACTTTGCTACATTTAGTTTTTAGCTAGCATTTGGCTACATGTAACGTTAAGCTAGCATTTGGCTACTTTATTGTGAGCGTAACGCTAAAACGGTGCAATTTTTATCCACTTTCCTACTATTTGACTGTGTTTTGTGATATTTTGCTAAAGCAGAAATGCAAAGGGCTCTATTTAGCTTTTAGCTAGCGTTCTGCTTCTTTCATCTTTATCTTCTTCTTAACGTTTCTCAGCGTTCACCATGTGTTTTGGCAGAAAGCGTCCTTCCTCTCGCCTCTTAACGGTTGTTGTGTTTGCAGGAGATGGCCGCTCAGCGCAGCCTCATGGCCACCAGCTCCGTGAACGTGGAGGTGGACGCCAAGCCCCAGGAGGACCTGAACCAGGTCCTGGTCGAGATCCGAGCTCAGTACGAGTCCATCACCGAGAAGAACCGCCGCGACATGGAGTCTTGGTACAAGGGCAAGGTGAGACGAGTCCCGTATGGGACGGTGAGCGGTTTCGTCTCCCGATGAAGTCGGGAGTAAATAAATTTTTATTTTTATTTTTATTTTTTTTTAAGTTTGAAGACCTGAACAGGGCGATGGCGAGCAGCACGGAGACTCTGCAGACGTCTCGAACCGAGATCACCGACCTGAAGAGGACTCTTCAGGGCCTCCAGATCGAACTGCAGTCCCAGCTCAGCCTGGTAATCTACAGTTCTTTTATCTACTGAAGTGTTTCCTGTCTCTCAAAACCGAACCTCGAGTCCCTGAACCTGACTTCTGCTAACAGTCGTTTGTCCTCCGCTGCAGAAAGCCGCCATGGAGGGAACGCTGTCCGAGACGGAGACCCGTTACTCTCTGCAGCTCCAGAGCCTTCAGTGCCGGGTGAACGACCTGGAGGAGGAGCTGAGCCAGGTGAGGGTGGACATCAGGCGCCAGTCCAGTGAGTACCAGATGCTGCTGGACATCAAGACCAGGCTGGAGCTGGAGATCGCGGAGTACCGGAGACTGCTGGACGGCGAGAGCACCCAGTAAGGAAACGGTTCAGCAACGGAAACTAACGAGTTTCTGGAAAATATAATTTCAAGTGTTTCTGCTGAGTTTAACACTTCCTCGATGTTTTAATATTTTTTTTTTTTAGGAAAATCACCACAATTGAGGTGAAAGAAGAAAAACGTAAGTTCGCTTCACCTAAATGACAGTAAAGATGATTTATTGTCGTGTTCCTACAAGAATCGTTGTTTAATTTGCATGAAGTCGGTTGTGTTTATTAATAAACTCTTGCAGTAGGACAGCCATGGTCCAAAGAGCTGGACTGAAAATAAAAATTAAGCTTAAGTCACATTAAATGGCACCAAAACAAAAACAGCTATGAAAATGTTAACAAATATTTATAAAATAAAAAAACACAACTACTTGAAAAAACGCCCATCCCTATTTGATTTCTGTGATTGAAAAAGTGCCTTGGTTAAAAAATTCATAAAATTGGCGAGCCGCCACGTCCAAAAACGCACTTGCGTTGTGTACGAGTAAACATTGATACAAAACAGTCGATCCACGCACACAGACTGAAGAATTGTACGTGTCGGCCGAATGAATAGGTTTGATCGGAAACGAGTCCTCGTTGTCCTCAATGTCGTTCACCTTCAGATTCACGACATTAACCTGAAGAGAATAGGCAAAGAAAATTAGTTTATCGAACCTTTATTTACGCAGTCTGAGTCTCTACTCCATTTTCAACAGAGAGCTAGTTCACTGACTTTATACTAATATTTAAATTTTTTCGTGTCCTCTGCAGGTAAACCGGTCATCACCCAGAGAACGAAGGTGGTGATCGAGGAGCTCATCGATGGAAAGGTGGTGTCCCGCACTGAAGACGTGGACACCGAGGTCCTCAGCAAGTAGACCGAACCCAACGAGAAAGAAGAACCTGCTGTTTGTGTAAATAAGTTTACTAAAACGCAGAAATAATAAATATTTATCTGCCAGGGTTGGATGTTTAATTAGATGGCTCTGAGCTATAAAAAAAAAAAGATTTTTAGACGAGCAGAGTTCAAATCCTGAGACCAAAACGAGGTTTTTGTCAACGTTTTCTCCATTTTACAAAAATATCAAGACTCATATAAGTTTTTTATTTCTGCTGGGTGGTCTGTCGCAGTAAAATGTTGTTCTCAGATTTTACGTGTCTTTGTTGCTGCATGGAGCGTTTTTAACGATGGAAACTTATTTCATACATTTTAACAAATGAAATATTTTAAGATTTCTGCAGTTCATGTTTAATATTTCTGACTCGCACCAATAAATTTTACATCAATACTTTTCTGTTCCTCGTATTTATTTCATTTACATAAAAACCTAAAGACAGCAGGAAGTTGTGTAAACATATTTTTGGACTTTCTTGTTGCAAAGTTTACCCAAAAAATCAAACAAAAAGCTGAAATGAATAAAATGTTCGTAGAAAAATGATAATAGGATAATTATATATACTGGAGTTTTCGTTTTAGTCCTGTTTATTTCAACAGGTTGTTACGGTAATTGGAACGAGCCTCATCTGCGCCCACTATTAACGTAATTTTCTTTTCTGGAAAAAATTTTTTAGACATCCATCCATTATCTTTTACCCGCTTCTTCCATTTTGGGTCACGGGGGTTGTTGGTGCCCGTGTCCAGCAATCACTGTGCGAGGGGCGGGGTACACCCTGGACAGGTCTCCAGTCCATCACATGGCCACGTAGAGACAAACAACCATTCACTCTCTTACTCACACCTAGGGACAATTTAGTTACCAATCAGCCTAACATGTATATTTTTGGTGTGTGGGAGGAAACCGGAGTACCTGGAGAAAACCCACGCATGCACGGAGAGTACATGCAAACCACCCAGAAAAGCCTCCGGACCGGGATTTGAACTGGGGACCTGCTCTGAGAGGTGGCAGCTCTACCAGTTGCGCCACTATGCTGCCCATTTTTAGACATTTCTGTCTTAAATCTGTAAATTTGAGCCCTGTTCATCCGACTCCATGCAGCCTGAAAACGGTCCCAAAAACAAACAAACCTTTTTTAGGTAGAAATGAGGAAAATAAACCCCAAAACGACACAATCAAACTGATAATTCGTGTTTGTTTTCCAGCCCAAAGGGCGTGAAAATAAAGCTTTAAGTGATTTAAAGTATATATGTAGTCAGCAAGGAGCTCAGTGTCCATTGTCCGGATGTGGGTGACCGGGGCCCCACCCTGGAGCCAGGCCTGGGGGAGGGGCTCGTCAGCAAGCGCCTGGTGACCAGGTCTCTACCCATGGTGCCTGCTCGGCCCAAACAAGTAATGCCGGTTTGCCTTCCTGTGGGCCCACCACCTGCAGGAGGGCCCATATGAGTCGGGTGCATGACTCCATGGACAGCGGCTGAAGATGGGGACCATGGCGCTCTGACCCTGGCTTACCAAAGCTGCCTCTTGGGACATGGAATGCGACTAATCTGGTGGGGAAGTAGCCTGGGCTTGTATGTGAGGTTGAGTGGTACTGACTAGATAAAATGTACAGTAGTTGGGCTCACCTCATCTGGGGCAGCTGTAGCTGAGTGGTTAGAGCAATTATCCTCCAATGCAAGAGTTGGGGGTTTGATTCCACAGCAGTCACATGCTGAAGTATTCTTGGGTCACTGGACAAGATACTGAACCCCTCATTGCCTCCTATGTGTCCCATTGGTGTATGAATGTGTTCTAAAAGCACTGATTATTATTTGTATAGATCTAGTAGAGTGCTGTATGAATGGGTAAATGAGGGCACAGGTTGTGTTGTAAAGCGCTTTGAGTATCTCGATAAGGTAAGGTGTTACTGTATACAAGTATAGTCCATTTACCTTGACACACAGCATGGGCTCTGGAACTGATCTCCTTTAGAGGGTAAGGATGCTTCCTGGGTACCTCCCTAGGGAGGTGCTTCAAGGATGTCCGACTGAGAGGAGACCCCGGGGAAGACCCAGGACACGCTGGAGAGACTCTCTCGGTTGGCCTGGGAACACCTTGGAGTCCTCCCAGAAGAGCTGGAAGAGGTGTCTGTGGAAAGAGATGTCTGGACCTCCCTGCTCAAGCTGCTGCCCCCGAGACCTGACTTTGGAACAAGAGGAAGATGATGGATGGATTTATTTAGTTCATCTGATTCTGATACAATAAACTCAAACAAATACTAAAAGTTTATCTAAAATAATTTACACTGACATTGGGCTTCAAATGAGAAATGTTCCTCGTTTGATTATGAAACATCTGCAGGTCGTCGTGATCAGATCAACAATATTTTAATAGTTTCCCTCAAGCCAACCAGACGGTTCCAACTAAATATGAAGATTTAAACATCAAATGTGTGTTTAGTTAAAAGATAAAGTTTCTCTGCGTGTTCATAACTTCACATACTTGGACGCTGAGGTGTCCAGCAAGTAGACGGAGCCCAATGAGAAAGAAGAACCTGCTCTTTGTGTAAATAAGTTTACTAAAACACAAACAATAAATATTTATTATCTGCCAAGTCTGGATCTTTACTCAGATGGTTCTGATTTAGCAAATAATAAATAAATAAAAATACTTTTAGACAAGCAGATGTGATAAATATAGTGATTAAAACAAGTTATATTTATGCGTGATGCTCACTTTGGGCCAGAATAAGTTTTGTTATGATGTTTTCTGTGATGTATTATTATTATTAATAATAATAATAATAATAATATCATAATAAAATAGTTAATATTTTAGTTATTTAGGAGCTGTTTGGAGGTTAAACCTTAACAAAAAGTCATACCAAAAGGAAAAAAATCATTCTTTAGTCTCCAAATAAAAGAAACGAATGTGTGCTAAAATTAAAATATTAGATAACGTTAATTATTAAATTAGACCTGTATTTCCTCTCACTTTATTTTATGAATGTACTACAAAGATGTAATTTATTTTAAGTTCTCTTGTTTTATTGCATTTATTTTGACTTCATTTACTAATATTTAATGTGCATTTGTCCTTTTCTTCTTGTCTGTAGGAATAATCTCTGCTGGTGGCTAATAAATAAATATGTTTTATTTTATTAGATCGGATTTTAACATAAGGTGCAGTTTCTTCATTTGGCCACTAGATGTCAGCACGTCTCTGAAGCTGAAAACTATTTCTTTTAATAAATTAAAATTCTCTTTATAAATTCATCTTTCAGATGAAGACATTGTTAAACTTTGTGGTTTACATTTTCCCTCCTTCGCACAAATTATCATTTTTTTCCTTCTTATAATAAATTAATCAACAACAACAAAAAAGCTCTGTAAAACAAAAATATTCTCTTAATTATTTCGGAAGGACACAGGAAGCAGGAAGTAAATCAATGTCTTTATTTCTCTTTCTGTTTGTTTTTATGTTTATTTTTACTGCTGAACTTTTGAAAAAAACATTTAAATCTTTTAAAAAATAAAAGCCAGGATCAGTTCTTCGTGTAACAAAAAGACGGAATCATCTTTGGAAAATGAAAAAGGATGTGAAAAGTTAAAGTTCCGACACGACTCGGTTCTGTTCGCTCCAGTCATGACCCAAATGATGACAGAGCCCTGCACCGCGGGATGCTGACGTCACCATATTACAGGCACTTCCTCGGTGACGTCACCCAGAGGCCGCCCTCTGCCGGCCGGCCGCAGACTGGCATTACGTCATCTGAGTGGCGGGTGGGTGGGGGGGTACTGGTATCAGGTTCGGTTCGTTGCAACCTGGGAGGAAGCAGCAGGACCAGAACTTTTATTGTCGGTGGGATCCACTATGACAAAAAAAAAAAAAAAAAGTTTATATAAACATCTTGTTTGAACCCAACAAAGTTAAGTCAGGTCTGTGTTGACAAAATTAAATAAATAAATCATGAAAGAAGTAATTTAATTGTCTATTTAATTATTTAATGATGTATTTAATAATTAAATGATACATTTCATTATTATGTATTTATTTATTTAATTTTGTCACATCCTCCATTCAGGTCAACTGGACGTTTTTTATTTATTTATTTAAGATGGTGTCTGAGTCCGCCCTCTCCCCCTTCGACTCCTGAGGCAGCCATAGCCAAACTGGTTCAAAACATCAAAGTTCGTGCTCAGTAATAATCTATGAACGAATGATGAAAAGTATGGATTACTGAGCATGAACTTTGATGTTTTGAACCAGAGGGTGGGCCACAGAAACCATCTTATCTCCACCCAACTGGTTGATGTGAGTGTGCTGCTTTTGGAACTGAGTTTGTTGTGGCTCTGACTGATGAAGTCCTTTGGATGAAAGACGAAACGTCTCAACAAAAAGAAACCATCCAGAGGACCTGACTGAACCTTGTTGGATTTTTTTACCTGGATTATTGAGCATGAACTTTGATATTTTGTTTCAAGTTTTCTGTCAAAAAAAAAAAAGAAAAAACAAACATCATTAGGATTTTGTAAAGAAACTCAGTTCTCAAATCTTAGATTCACCAAAATATTGAATGAATTTGAAATAAATATGGACTAAATGACGACACTCTTAAACGGGCCAGTAAAATTAAGATTTTTGTTGTTGTTGTTGTACGAGTCAGATCCTCAAGGCCACCTGTCAATCAATCCATAGGCTCATCAGCAACTGACCAATCAGCTCTTTGAAGTGCATTTTACTAAATTCCCAGGATTAAACAACAACAACAACAACAACAACAACACCCCCACCGAAGAAAAAAAAAAATCAGTATTATATTACTGAACTGACCTTTAACCTGAACTTTATCTGAGATCAAACTTTCAAAGTGTGTTTCCCTTATTAATATATATTTTTTACACACTGGTGAGTCCAGCCGGCACTTTTCAAATATGGAACATTTGGGTGTCCTGCCCCAGGTGGGAAATGGGGAGCTAAAATTAGCGTAGCT